CGAACCATGCGGTAGTACTTGCTTGCGAATATACCTGAAAAAAAAAAAAATAAAAAAATAAAAGCGACTTAATAGAACTTTTATTTAAAAAAAGAATTTTTTTTACTATACCAGAGATTTGTAAAAAAAATTTCGAATTTCTCAGAGAATTAAATATAAGAGATGATCATACTGAAAAAGACTCTTGCCGGTTTCCCATATGGAACCGGAATCGCTGCAGTCTTTTGGTGCCTCGGTGATCTTCTCCGTCTGATTCATCGCTCGCAATGCGGATACGAGGACATATCTAAACAGTGCGCAGAGAAACATATGTAGGAAAAAAGTTTTTCAAGAATATTTAAAATTTCTTTGAAATAAGAAACACAAATTAGCTTGCAAAAAAACTCTTATTGTGCTATTAATTTCTTATTATTGATTATATTTAATTATTCGAAAAGCTTAAAAGGTATCGTGGTACCTAGGTAAAGACAGATGTGCAACGTGGTGGAAACCGAGTAAATATATTGATAATTGAGAGCATATACTAACAAGCTGTCGGTTATATGCGATTTTTCCTGAGTAGCATTGATCAGCTTCAACCCCAGTAAGCCATCTGGCGCGTTTGGGGCGTCCAACGCTTGTTCGGTGACAATCCACACATATCCGGCGCCGGTCATATTTAAATTAGCCGCGTCGTTGAAAATTACTTCTGCATCCTTCTTCCTGTCGCGTGTTCAAAAAAGTTCATTGAAGTATTTTTGCAATTAAAATCCATGTAAAATTGATATTAAATAATTATCAATTTCTTTTGTACTTAATTTGTACTTTACGACATTTCTTATTCTGTTTCGCCATAATTCTCGAAATTCATAAATATAACGGTGAATACTTACGAAGCGTACATGAGACAGACTCTCGCCTGTGCGCTTTTCATTTCCCTCAATTGTTCCTCGAAGTTGTGTAATCCTGGTTCGAATTCAATGACTGATTCGACCTGAAATAATAATATTTAGTAACAAAAATTTTTTTTTAAATTTATATAACGTAGGTAATAGTAAATATTATTAAGAAAATTACATAACTATTTGTTTAAAGTAGGGATCTTTTGAAGGAATAGTAGAGATATAGTGTTTAAACTATAAGATCTATAAATTACACGATTTAAAAAATAATAGTACAATTAAAAATAGTTAAAGTATATTATATAACATAATATAATATTATTGTAGTAACTAGGAAAAGGTCCAAATTATTGTGCAACATGCCTGCACTTTGATTTCTACGTCATCTTCTAAATTCTGCGACGTCGTCTGGAAACGTCCAAGGAGCGCGCGACCGTCAGTATCGGAGCTATGAATGAAGATGATCTTCATGTAGTTAAAGTGCTTCAGTAGTTCAACCCAAACATCCGCTTGATGAGAATACGGTGGTACAGTACGCAAAAATGAGACATGAATATTCTGGAAATATGTACCGTTTAATTACTGCGATATCGTCAATCGCATACAATATATTATATATTGTTTTTTACTTGGATAATGATGTAAATATTTTTTATACTTATCTTAATATATCTTCGGTTTTGTTTTACACATTTTAATTTGCCTTAATTTTTGTATCTATCGTTAAATTACGCGAATTATTTCTTTTATTTTATTCTATACGTACTTTATCCGAAAAAGCGGAATCCCTGGATGATATGCCAATCACGGGTATGTGATAAAAACCGCTCGTATAAGAAACCGCTGCCGGTGATAAATCGCCTGTAAGCGGATGCGATACCACTACCGCATACACCTGTTCGGCTATTAAAGATCGGCAGACGCTCAATGCAGTTCTGATAGGGTTGGAGTCCATTTCGATTACCGTGTGCTTGTATGTCACCCCTTTATTGACGTATTGGAAATCGAAATTGAGATGCTGAAATTGAGGTATATGTATGTATGCATAGTTATATTGAATATACACTAAATATATTGTACAAGTATATTAAAACACACAAAATTTTTTTAAAAATACATTTAACAATTATTTTAAGTCAAGTTATATATATACATATATAATATCGTAAGTTATATACAATATTATTACATGCTGTTATTACAAAATTATCATTATTAATCTTACGTCAATCGTTTTTTCAAAGTGCTGTTTGCTGTCAACATTCGAAAGAACACCGCCGATCTTAAAGTACCTTGGGTTGTTATAGCTCAATGTCTTGGCGAGGACAAGTCCTAACCGTGGAGCAGTGTGCAAGATAATGAAGATGAGTGACAGCACAATCTTCATACGTAATCTCGCCATCGTGTAGCTATCGTATCCTTAAACAAATTTTTACGTTAAATCAATAAATTACTAATTTTTTGACAATTGATGTTGAAATTTTATTTATGATTTGAATAAAGTGAGATGATGTATATACATATACATACATACATATTTTTTAACTTAAATCTTAATATACTTAAAATACTAAAGTTAAATTAATATTATTACTAGAATTAAGATTGCTGTATGATAAACAATATATAATCAATCAAATTAAACAAAATATAATTAATTAGTAAAGTATGAGTAGTTTTAGATCTTTTTTTTATGTTATACTTTTTAGTTTAACTAAAGAAAATAATATTAAGTGATACTTTAACGTGCCTATAAATTATACAAAATATTTAAGAACTTTTTATTTTTAACTATAGTAAATCGCAATATCATTTTTGTTACAATTTATAATCTTAGATATTTTCAATAACTGACATCAATTAAATTCCACTGTATAAAAAGTGAACTTATGGAAAAGTTATTATCATAAAAGTATAAATTACATTTTTTTGTTGGACCTTATTGATGCTAAAGGTTTTAAGAGTAACTGGATCATTGAGTTTGTATTTTCTAGAGTAAACAACCTTCACCCATTTTCATGAATGTTCGTATTTTTGCAACGTCAAATAAATTATTGTTTTAACTCGTGTTTCTCTACGTGTTTTATTTCGTCTTCAACATATCCTTATGTTCAAAGATAGCGTTTTACAATTAGTATAATTTAACTTATACGTTTATTCAGAGTGTTATACAAACACATATTTGAAAATAATAATTATTGTTGTTATGGAAAATTTACTGGGTTTTCGCGATTCACGCATCTTAAAAAGAAATTCAAGCAGCTTACTCACGTATAATTTCTGATGCTTTATTACATGCACCTTAGATATTTTGTCCGGTTCTCTGGAGTAAAACACGGATCTTCAAGGATCCCTCGGAACGTATCTATTTATTATATGTCAAAATCAGTCCACGCCCAAGAGAAGCGAACATTGGTACAGTCCAAACGCTAATGCTGACCTCGAGATAGAACGCGAGCGCAGGGGATGAAGAGAGTTGGGAGATTTATCATTGATCCAGTCGGATGCTGCGCGTAGAAGTTACCCCCGCCACGAGGTTTGATCAAGAAATCGCCAAATTCAAACAATGCTAATCGAAACAGTCGCCGCGCCAATCTGTTTCTACGTTTATTATTATTACGGCTGCTTTTTTTTATAATACTATTACGGCTGTTATTATTTTCTGAAAAGCTATTTAATGTACAAAGTTCATCTATAAATAATGTTGACGTTATATTAATGGGAGATAAATTAATGAAACAAATTGATATTTTTCAACGAAGTTATCAAACAATATTAAATGATATTAGATTAAATAATAGCACACAATTAATGACACATCACAATTATCTTTTTAAATCTTATTTACGTATATAATTAAAATTTATATTTGGAGATGCAGCATTTCGCGAAATGATTATCTCTGCGCAAACTTCTTCCACAATTGCTGTTACCAAATAATTACGGCAATCGAGGGCGAACAGTGCACGCTAGATGACGTAATGACAAGCGAAGGCCGACGTCTAGGAGACAATCAGCTTAAACCGCAATGCGAAGCACTTTCTAATGAGATTTTGGACGCAACATTTTGTGAGCGATTAGCAATTTACTTTAGGTCAAAGAATAATTTCCAGGCTCGCGTTGAAACAACAAATGATATACGTTTAAAATTTTAAATTTACGTATAACAATATGTAAGGTAAATTTTGCAATTATCACTGCAGTTGAGTTGACAACCGTGATTTTCGACTTTACAAAGTATTTATATCTTTATATGAATAACTATGTGAAATGTGTTTATTACATCTTTATGAAAAGTAGATTGTTTATTCGATTATAACATGAAACGTTGTGTTTCAAAATACTTTTGCTCATTAGAGAAAAAGTTTTTTTTTTTCAAAATAATATTATAATTTGATTATACATTTTATTTAATACAAGTTCTAAAGAGTAGATACTAATTTGCTATTCTTTCTTTTATTATAAAATTTAAAATTTTTTAAAATATATATCTATATACTATATACTAAACGTGGAAATATGAATGTAGAATTAATTTCAATAATCTAAGCAATTTTGATTTTCCTAAATTTCATTCAGATGTCAAAACGTAAAAACATACATATATACAAGTACTTGGAGCGTAGCAATTAGATTCTTTTGTTATTAAAAAATTTCTGATTTTTTTAAATGTATATCAAGCATTATGTAAATTCTATTTTACTTAAATTTTAAAATATTAAAATAAATTTTATTTTTTTAGAACAATTAAATTTCATCCAACATTTTGGCTGTTAATGTTTTTTATACAAATGTGTGTAGTCATTCGTTCAATCTTTTTCCTTCATCAAAAAACTTCGTACAGTTCCATATTCATGTAACCCAGTTTCTGCCGTTCAAAAATGATGACTCTTGTCCCGCGATAGTTACACGCGTGGTTTTTCCCTTGTCAGTACGTTCGCACGTGGGTCGTGGATGATTTCCGTGAAGATGCCTTTGCGCGTCAGCGTCACCGATGTATCGATCCCACTGTAAATTTCCAGTTAGTAGCAACCCTCCACCAGTCTGCGTGCGCACCCCACTCGTGTTCACTGAGAGAGTCTCAGTAAGTCTCAGTCTACATCACAAAGTCGGGAAAAGTGTTTTGGTAGCTAGACAGGAAAACGCTAACCATCGATCGTTGACATTTCTATACCTCGAGTTCAAATTTGTCAGGCTCGTCTTTGAAAATCACAAATCAAGAAACACCGAAGCCCTCCTCACCGAGGAGCTTTCGGTATAATCAAAGGGAAGGAAAGCCATAAGGGTTGTATGATCAAAACAGCGTCCCTATACAGGTAGACATCGTGTCCAAGTAGTGGCAGAGCTCCGTTCTCCAATCAGTGGAGAAGAAGGCGAGGGTGAACGCCAGGTGTGGTGAGAGCGGTATAAGAGCGAAGAAAGAGCTCGAGGAGCTGCTGGACGAGAGACCAGAGAGAGACCGTTCGACTAAATCACGCGCGACCAACCAAGTAATATAATCCAATGTATTACGGTCCCCCCGGTTCCGCCGAGGAAGCCGCCGATGAAACATGTCGCTACCACGGGAATGGAGCTTTCAGGACGCGTGTCGGGCGTCGAGCCTGTTGGCCGACGTCGACATCGGCGTCCCTACGGCAGCGTCCCAGGAGATGGCCGTCACCGGCGGCAATCTTATTGACGAGAATATGAATGATCAGCCGGCGACTCAGCTGGGCTCGCTATTCTCCATCCATTCAGCGCCGGTGTACGATCTGAGCGGTGTCGCCAGCGGGGTGCCGTCACCGAAGCGGCCGGCGTCCTTGGCGGTGCAGGCGACGGCGACGTCGACGCCAGTCGTACCGCCGCACCTGCAGAGCCCCGAAGGCACCGTCGTCGAGGACGAGGACAACGACAACCTGCTGACGATATCCAGTCTCACTGCCCGGCCGCTCATCGCCAAATCTAGGGAGCTCAGGTCGGTGTTGGAGTGAATATTGTCGGGGGTGTGTTAACCACAGGTATCGGCAAACGAGCGCCGATTATGTACATGCTTGCTTATGCGATAATCTACACGCGTTCTATCCTTCTTTTTGTTCAGCGCGCTGTTTCATTGCAGTATTGAATTGTTGCATGCAAAACGTGCCGTTTCCATCAATGATGATTTTCTATAGCGATTTCTGAGGAAACGATAATACGTAAACATACGTTTAACTTTAGTTTTGTGCGTGTTAAATTATGCTAATTCATTTTTCTTATACGTCAGATACGATTCCTCTCACGAGTAAAGTTCACGTTACAGATTGCTTGTAAATTGTTATTATAATTTTTGTATCAACTTTTCTCAGTATTTATTACGAAGCGTAGTCGAGGGTAATTTTGTATTTTCCTAATTTAAACGTATTCAAACAACAAAAAATGTCTAAAATCGGCTCATAAGACGTTTTTTTCGTCTAAAAGACGACTTAAAAGGACATCTTATGTCACAATTTCAGACTTTGTGTTGTTTGATCATCATTCGTGATTATTCAATACAATAACAGCCTAAATGCTAATTCAGATCCGTCAGATATGCAGCTCCGAAGAGAAGGAAATCCCGGCAAAGAAACGAGATCAAGAAACCCCGGAACACCACGTACGTCCCTCTGGACGGTGGTTACGGCTGGGTAGTAGTGTTCGGCGCCTTCTTCGTGCAGTTCTGGGTGGCCGGATTGGTCAAGTCCTATGGAGTGCTCTACGTCGAGGTCATGGAAACTTTCAAGGACTCATCCGCCTCGGTCGCGTCTTGGATACCAGCGATTCTGACGTGCCTATGTTTAGCGCTTGGTAAGTCATCGTTATCGTTTAGGCATCTCTGTCTCCGCGACCTATAGTTTCTCGAGGAAAAAGAAAGCGTACGATTATGATCCGTCGTTAGTTGACCTTGTCCGTCGTTATAATATTTAATCGAGGCGCGCTAAATCGATATTTCGTTTCGCAGCTCCGGTAACGAGTATGCTCTGCCAGAAGTATAGCTGTCGAACGGTGGTTTTCGTGGGTGGACTTTTCTGCGCTCTAGGACTTACAACTAGTTACTTTGCCACGCGATTAATACACCTCTTTTTTACATTTGGAGTGCTGACAGGTTTGTACAATTTGAATTCCAACTTTATGACCTGATTCTTACATCAGTCCTTCATCTTACGTTACATCTTTCGCATCGTCGACCAGTTCCAATATCGTATTTTACTGAAGAAGCAAAGTTAAAAGTGTCCTTGCAGGTATCGGCGGTGGCTTATCGACGACTCCAGGTATAATCCTGGTATCGCAGTACTTCGACAAGCATCGTGCTTTGGCAAATGGGATTTGCGTGTCTGGCACTGCCGCGGGTAGCTTCGTATTCCCGCTACTGATCGAATTTCTAGTGAAAGACTTCGGCTTTCACGGCACAATACTGCTATTAGGCGGTTGCATGCTGCACGTATGTGTCAGTGCGACACTGTACCGACCACTGGACGAAAATTATGCTCCTGAGGAAGACGTCTCAGTGGAGAAGATCGAGAAGGAACTGAAAGATCAGGTATAAGCAAATGCTCAATTGATATGATATGTTATACATATATCTACATTGTTATTATTATAATATTTATTATGTATGCATATTATACATGGATATTATTTATAAAATATATAATTATAAGCAGATATATTTCCTTTATAAAATATTACAGGATCAGGACAAATCAAAGCAACAAAAATTGGAATTATTGTTCGCCAACGATCCAACTGCCCGGCACAACATGCTAAACGAATTGTTCCACCAAAACAGCGGCGTGGTGGCGGTCGAGCTAACCGACAGTGACGAGGAGAAGGATGTGATGGGCGAGGGTCTCCGCATGAAGCCTATTTCCAAGATTCGTAGCTCTAGTATCTTGCACAGCGTGGAGGATCTGTCTACAGACTCGACGTGCGTATACAAGGCCGCCAGATCATCGCTCCGATCGTTGAAGTCGTCTGTGACGGCGATGGGTCCGCCGGAACAGCAGCAGCAACAGCCACCGCCATCGCCGCCGAATAGGATTCCGTCCTTGACGCTGACATCGTCGACGGAATCTAAGATCACGTTCATGCAAAGACTAACGCGCTATCTCGACTTGTCGCTGCTGAAGAATCCGCAGTTCATCATGATGTGCTTCTCCGTCAGCCTGATGTCCACTGGTAGCCCATACATGCTGTATTACCTGCCAGCGTATGTCCACGCCGCTGGTTACACGAAATCGGAAGCCGGCTACCTGGTGGCCATCTCCGCCGTGCTCGATTTGTGCGGCAGGCTCGGTCTTGGCTGGCTCTCGGATCTCAAGCTGTTCGATCGGCGGAAAGGATATATTGGCAGGTGGGCGCGGATTTCATTCACACGTGTATCTCGATCTCTATCAGATTTCAGAATAAGATATGTTAAGACGTGGACCTAGTTGGAAAGAGACACAAATAATCATGCTAATTAAAACTTATAATTATATATATATATATATATATATCTGTATTTCCGATAAATAAATTATGAAAATCGATTCCAGAAAATATCTGTGGATCGTTTCTATTCGCTTTATTTGTGATATACTTATAGAGATTGCAATTTAATGCGTTTATTTTAGAATCCTGAGAAATATTCTGGGATATCATCGGTTTAAATATTTATTCAATGAACAATTAATTATCCCAATGCGATATCTGCTTTAAATATCTTTAGACGGGTTTTTTCGTTCCGAGGGCGATAAAACGAAAGTTATATAATAGCTATAATATTAAATTATTGAATGTTCTTTTTTTTTCATTGAACAGCGTGGTGGGTGCTGGCGTGGCGGTCTTGGCGATTCCGATGGCTCACTCCTTTTATGTGCTGGCCTGTTCCGTCGGCATGTACGGGTTGTGCCTAGGCTGTTGGTTCCTCCTAGTTCCCGTCCTGCTCGCCGATCAATACGGCACCGATAAAATATCGTCCAGCTACGGTCTCGTGAGGATGTTCCAGAGCTTTGGAGCGATCTCCATTCCGCCTCTCGCAGGTAACGACGTCACTTTTTTGTTCGAGAGAACTTTGAGAACATTTCTCAAAGGCATCAAATGTCCTTTAATTCAAATCGAGCCGATTTTCTTTTTCTTCTCTTCCCTTTAATTTCATCGACCTCTCTCTGTGTGTATGTGCGTGTTTGAGAGAGACTATATTATAAAAAAGTAAAAAAGGATAAGTATACGCGCGACTCACTCCAGAGACAATATAGAAAATACCAAGACATGTATTGCACTATATATTGCGTTAATTGTCCGCATAATTACGTCTAAGAGTGCGGAGATAAAAATATAAAAGCTGTACACACGCACACACATATACATGTACCGCCAGGGTTGCTCTTTGTTTCAACCACCGCTGGTTTTCCTTGCAGGGTTGCTTTTTTCTAATAAGTAAATAGCGATCGATGTGTGCAATACAGGATAAAAATTAAGATTTTTTGTCATCAGATGGGATCTTATGTCTAATAATTTTTATGAATAATTATATGCATCTTTTGAATTATATTGACGACCGCCTTTTTTAAATTGTTTTGATATTAATCATCTTTGAAAATTATTATTTACATTTTCTCGCAGCTTCTTTTTTATCTATTTGTTCAGATTTTTATTTAATTTATGTTAAGTAATTCTATCTTGATATATTTTTTATCTTAATAAACTTGTACGTTATAGTTATATTAATTGCTCGGATGATTTTTGAAATAGAATAGTAAAATACTGCAGCCATCACTAATTCGGAATCGATTTTTCTTTAAAGAAAATGTCAAATCACTAATATAGTATTTGAGTTATATAAAGGATCATAATTATTATGTAATGTTAATAAGATGATATTATATATATATATATATATATATATATATATATAAGATAGTGAAACAAATATGATTACAATTCAAGTTTTATAAAAAAATAAATGGTACACTAAAATATTTACGAGAATATCCCTAAAGCGTGATTGCATGAATTTACATATATTTAAATTAACGTAGATACTTTTTATTTTCATGAAATTTATTTTTTCCTAGCGATATAACTACATATTTCTAACGAATTTTTATTAATTTTATTATAATTACTACATATATTATATTGATTATATAATAATTGGTAATATTATTCCAGGTTATCTTCGCGATGTAACTGGAAGCTACACTGTGTGTTTTTTGTGTATGGGTACGTGCATGGTCATAGGGGGTTTACCTCTACTTTTGGTTTTCAACGAGAACCAAACAAATCCAACAAAGCTGCCCGTGAACGCCGAGAATAACAATCGTCAAGAGGACACTACCATAAAAGGATAAATTATTTTGAAAATGTGATCGTTGACTATAAAGTGATTTAATGTGTAATAGGAAAATAAATAAATCGTAACAGTTGTCACAAAAAAGAATATATTGTAATACTTACTGAATATCTCCCTGCCATTTTTACATTGAGACAAAGTATCTTTGTTAGATAAATTTAATGAAATAGATTAAACTTATACATATTCATGCAATATTTATTCATCATATTCTTGAATTATTCTTGACATTCTCATTGTATTTCAATATTTTCAACATATTTATTCTGACAAGTATTTTTTAAATAAGTTTCATTAACATTCGGTAAGTTTTAAATTATACGTGTTTTCTAAACACATACACGTGTAAACAATAATGTTCATGAGTATATATATGTCTCACAAATCTCAAAAAACGTATAAACAGTCTTCAAAAAGTTTCCTTATCCTATTTTTATTATTTACATTTTACATATTACAATTAAATACAAAATCTCTTATTAATGCAATGTTTATATATAAAAAAGGGTGACTACCACAAAAAGTAAATTGATTCAAATGTATATATGAATAATATTTAAAAAAATTATGACAAATATAATCTATAATATAAAATCTTTACAATATAATCTATAATATAAACCTTTTTAAATATAGAATATTTACATGTTGAGTCATGAGCTTTACGTATTTTTTTTCTTTATTCTTTAAATAAGTATGTATGTGTGGGTGTGGGTGTGTATGCGCGCGCGCATGTACATACACACAGTGAGTTGTATAATTGTATTTAAAAATTTCGAAATAAGTTTAAAATTAATATACACACATCCACACATACACAATTTCTGTTAGACATATATATGTATTATTATATAATCCCTATACGAATAATCTCGAAGGATTTTATTCACTAAAGTATAAAGTCATATTCAAAGCGCTATATATGGCAGTCTGATTACGAGATTATTCGAGATAGTCTGATGCAATAATTATCCAGTATTATCCATAATCTCTTATCAAAATTTTAAGAATAATTTTGAGAATCAGACAATTATATTTAGCGCTAAACGTAAAATATACATAATACAAGTAGAACGTAAGTTAGAGTTACAAGTTTCCACATTTCATATGTAAACAGAATCTTGAATCACATTTCGCAATCACAATAAAAAAAAAATAATCCAGAAGGATACTATGACAAATTACTTCAATCAGAAACTTTCATGGCAGTTATTTCTGTATAAGGACTAAAATCGATGTAAATTCGGTAACTTTAATTTTCAATATCATAGATAGAGAATGAATGTACGTAATATATTGTACTGCATAACTCTATTTCACTTGCATCTTATCAATGCAATCCAGATAGTACCTCTGAAACTTCCAATACGTCAATGGATAATGTCTATGAATTTTTAATGCACTGATAAGATAATCACTAATGGTCATTGAGATCGTCAAAGAAATACATATATCTACATTTATTGCAAATTTCACGTAGGCTTCCAAGCTACCACTCTCATCTTGTTGTTCAGTTCTTGCAATATGAGAGAACAAGTGAGCTGTTTCTCTGGAGATAATCCATTGATACCATCCATTTCGTCATCATCGTCACCCATACCACTATTACTGCCATTTTTGCCTTTTCCCTTTCCTTTTCGTTTCTTCTTTTTATTCAACTGACGACAATCAATATCATTTGAATTGTCTGTGGTCCTTCTGATCTATAAGAATAAAATAACTTTTAGACAAGTTTAAGAATATCAAATATTCTTTCAAACAATATAATAATATATTATAATACAATATTATTATATATATTAAAAAATGAGACAAGTACTAATATATTGTGCATAGCAATAACACAACCTGAAACAGAATTATGATCTAATAAATCTATGTGTATACAAAATGTTAATATTAAAAACAAAATTCTATTCTACCTTGGCACTTTTTTTCATCTGCTTATCATATTCCAAAGCGTCATAATAATTTGGCTTCTCGCGTTTAATGCGATTCGTTCTTCTTGTTTTCATCACTCCACTGTCTGGACTTGGTGGACTTTTGATAGAATTACGTCTTGCATTGAAAAAAGAATGTCCGCAGGGACAAGCTTTGCAGGCAACAGGTACCTTGTTATAAGAGAAGCAATCACATTTATTAATAATATTCTCGACTTAGTACAGCATGCAATTTACAGATAATTAATTTAATAAATATCAGTATATAAAATATTCTAAAGTACAAAATTTATCAAATTCTTAAAATAATATCACTATAACATTCATAAAAAAAATACTAAATAATATACAAGTATATAATAATTTAATAACTATTATTTCATTCAATTAAAAGATAAAACTTCGGTGAGATAATGCATTTACGCAGAATAATTTTTTTGTCTACAAAAAAAATGTCGCATATTTTATACGATACTTTGCGTATAATTTCAATATTAAATTTTGAGAAAATTTAATAAATATATATAAAGTAAATATTACAGAAACGTTCAATAAATAATAAAAATAGACATGCATTTTTCATGACAAATGTGAATCATTAAATTACATAAATAAGGCGTATGAAACTTCATAAATATATGAAAGGCATACTGTATATGTGTGTGAATATAAATATTAAAAAAAATATATGAATTATTACACACGACGGGAATTTATCTAAATATACCTGCTGCTCGCATTTGGGGCATCCCTTGCTAATTGTTTTTGTCTTGGCCATATTTCGATCCGAGCTACTTCAACGATACAGAGATTATTTCCAATTAGGAAATGTAAACATGACAATCGTAACAAAGAAACAAGCAATTATGGCTGTTTTGATGTACGTACTCAGCGCCGCACTTCAACACAGTGTTGAAACTCTGTAGATAACTTGATACAAGTTCTCGATGTCGACAATTACCGACAGTTGGCAAGGAATGAGCGCAATTATCGATGTAGTTTTTAAAGTAACCCGGAAAATATTTCAATTTAAACAATGTAAATTCAAATTGGCAAAATATTATATTTAAAGAACAGAAATATGATTTTCATTGTGACATTATTTGACACATATATGTATATCTCAAGTAATTCTGGTATTTTGCTCAATCATGCATGATCATTACATATCTTTATTCTTTTTAGCTTGACTTTTTTTCTTGTGTTTATTTGTGCGTTATCAAAAATTTATAACTTCCCACACTGCATGAAAAATATCTGTATTTACACGAATCATTTTTTGAAATATTACAATAAAATATATTTCAGAAATATTATATGTTATTGCAAACAAAGAATATTTTAAAAGCTGATATTTTCTGAACATATGAGATGTTTATGTTTTAGAAAGATTTCATGAAAAACTTCTGAAATAATTAAATTCTTGCAATGAAATATATTGCAAAATATTTCTGAAATATTTCATGCTGCATGGATTAGATTTCTTAAATTACTTAATGCAAACTTACCGTAAACATTTTATTACGTAAACATATAATTTTGAAATATAATATGGTAATACCCCTCCCCCCCCCCATTCTTCAAGCCCGCAGAAGGAGAGACCTTTCTTTGCTAGCCTCGGAGACTTTCGGTGAACGGTGGACCGAGCGATTTAAGACCTAGTGGGGATATGATATGCGGGTGAACCTCGTAACCGGTGAACGTACGCCTGGCGATCTTAATAATAAAACGACGAGGGTCGCGCGTAGAAACCGCGCGTTCTCGTTCTCTGCGCATGTGCCGTTAGACCAAAGAGTGGGAGGATCGAAGGGATATGTCTCGGAATAGAGGAAGTGCTCTCGTGGTTCCGACGTGACTGGACGTGACCTTAAAGGAAAACGGAGGAAGCGTGCACTGTGCGCGAGTCACGTCAGTTCTCGTTTCCGAGGGACGGTGCAGGATATCCACTCGCGCGAGGACTCGTCGTGCGACGGAGTGATGCGCGGCGCGGGGAACGCGAGGGGACGGTCTCTGACGATAGACGATATTGTTGTTTACATTTCTCTCCAAGTGCATTCTCGCGGGACCGCCATATAGGGAAACCACCTTGCTTCTTCGCGTACATGCCGTCTTTCTCGGAGGACTCCCGAATCGTACAAGTGGCACAACGCTGTGGAGTATCGACGAAGGAGATTATGGACCATCTGGAAAGGTATCGATAGAATAAAAGTAGTGCTTTAGCTCCGAGGAGGCGAACTGCTGCCTGCTAAACCGTTGATCCACGTTCCAGTTTAAGCTATGGTGTGTAAGAAATATATATATATTCACAGCACAGCAGAGTGTATATCGCCCCTCGCTTGTATGGCTTAGTGTGATAAAGCAACTATCTATAATAGAAGGAATTCTCATATCAGGTCTCAGACCTTCGAATTTCGATACCACCAGGAATGCCTTGATATTTTTTTCCCTTGATATTTTATCATACAATACTGTCACTATATCTGCCTTAAGAGAGTACTTTAGTGGGTCGGAAATTTAAAAGGAGAGATTAGAAAAAAGAAAAGAAAGATATCGAAGAGAGTACCGGCCGTAAACATGTCAGACGAGTGTGTCCTCCCAAATTCTTAAAATTCCTCAGGGAGTGAACGATAGCTATGTTTATTCCAATAGAAGAAATGTTTTACAAACTACTGGGGGACTGAAGATTTCAAGACGTGGAGCTTTTCCCTTCTCTGAGAAGATTAAATACTGAATCACCTGATCCACCTTTTACTCATAATACTGTGATTCCTCCAGGTAGCTCAGAAATTCATCTAGAGGAATAAAAAGAAGACCTGAGGGTTTGGTTCTAAGAGTACTTAATTCGAATGTGGATGGAAAAAGTTGGTCTATTGCGATCTAACTTCCGTAGAAGCTCCCGCGAAGCGACGAAAATGTGACATATCATCCTGGACAACGAACGTTGTAGTGTTGCAAGAGAGAAAAAAAAAAGGAAAAATGGTACACGCAGTAGTTGTGGTTCTCGCTCTGATCTCCGTCAGTGTATCCGCCTACGAGCATACCGCCGCGGATCAGTGCGACTGGTCCGGAAGGTTTGTATTTTTCATCGTAGCACACAGTCTCTTTCTCTCTCTACGTTTCACGAACTTTCACGTCAGTGCCGTAACAAGCACGCGACTGATGTGACTTTAAAAGTCGCTGGCTATATAGTCTGACGGTCAGACCACTCCACTGTAACATTATTTTCAGCTTTTTTTTTATTTCCACTTTTTAACCTTAATCATTTGCTCCGAAATTTTATAAACTGACAATTTTATGGATCCAGTTTTAAATAAATATATCTTTGCTTGAAGTTAAAGTAATTGAACGTGGATTTTTTTTATTTTATAGATCAAAATATTCGAGGGATAAGATTATGTAACTGAAATTGTGTAAAGAGAGAGTTATGAAAAACAATTGTTATAATTGTTGAAAAAATCAATGGACTTATGGAGTACTTATAGGACTAATACTTTCTATTAATAAGACAAAATGTGAGAGAGAGAGAGAGAGAAAGATTTTTATGTTTAATATAATTTTAACATTTCCAATTAACACAATGAGCACCAATCAATTTTTATAGGTGTATCGCAGAAGCTGAAGCTTGAAACTATCCAATCTTTGGAAATTATTTTTTATGTAATTTGAAAATCTTGATTAGTTATTTTAGTATTCGCCGGAAATCACGGAAATCTGTAGCACACAATTTGTGTCGCCGGGGCGCTCAACGTGTTGAATATATAGCATAGCATTAATACGAGTCATTCTTTCCTCTCTCTGTAATTTCTAATGAATAGCATTATTATTTCTCCCTATTTCTCGTTGTAATACATTTGTGAAAATAGATGTATTAATTTTGAAATGTAAATACTTTGCGTAGCGGAGGAGAAAGTGGTGGTGTCCGACCGGTATACTTGCGCTGTGCTCGGGGAACGGTACTATGGCGCTATCCTCATGACGCTTTGAGAGTAGTCCTTTCCTTCCCGGTCTCATTCTTAGAGAACACTTCTCTCAGCTATCTGGGTTTCCGTGCCTGCGTCAAGATCTCTGGGCCTGTGCGGGTCTTTCTGGAAGCTGGCGGCAAGCTGAGACAACTCTATTCTCCGTCCGATGGCAAGCACGAACTTACACATCGGTGCTTCCGCTCGCGGAAGCATACAGCCGCACTTTACATGGAAGCTGAGGATGATTATTCCTTTAAAAACACCAAGGTCAAGCTACAATATGACCTGGAGCCAAATTCTGTGAAGGGGGGAACACTTCGCGTGCCGGACGAAGAGGAGGACTGCAGACCTTGCTCCATGGAGGAACTTGCCAAGGCTTATTGCCAAAGCGACCTGGTTGCTAAAGGCACTGTCACTGATGTCGAACAGAATCCTAAAATGGATACGTCTGAACTGATACTTAGGGTCACCAAGATTCTGCGCTATATAGCCCAGGAAGCTGAGGTAAAATTATATAAGACGACATATACTTTAACTTTTCTATCAAACTTAACGCGTGTGTAAGCCAATTACAAAGTACAAATTATTGCAGGGTAATGAAATTGACGCGTCTTTGAAGAAAAGCGTGCGTGTGCGAATACCAATGGTATGTGATGCGCGGCACGGCCTAGGTGAATTTGTGATAATGGCCAAACGACGTCTCGGAGACCTCACCTTGGTATGCGCGCCTAGACTGGAAGCGTGGATGCAAATTGTACATGAAATGGATAATGCGCCCTGCGTTCTTCATAGCTAGCTAATAAGATGATTTTTTTTGGAAAGTCGTAAAGACATGTACACGATGCACAATAGATACAGTATCGTGTTACAAAATTGGAAATCAATCATTAATAGAGTAATACCGTATAGAAAACTGCCGTCTAGCCATTTGTATGAGGATATCGTATATTTAGGGAATATCATTCTTTGTGTACATACTACATACTGTCAGATTGTCGATCTCCAAACTGTGATATTATTTGTTGTATTAAGAAGAACATGGAAGAACGTGCACAAAGAAACAGAGAAAGCACATTTGCCTTAATACTTGTTCTAGACTATTTTAGAGATTAGAAAAATCATGTATAGAATATTCCAGGCATCACTCACTCTTTCCCTTAAAAATTTCTTTTTCGTAACTCTTATTTACTCTCTTTTTCTTATCCTAGTTTGCAATCATCATTTTCTCATTTTATAACATACTAAAATTTAATTGAAATTTAATTGAAAAAAAACCATTATCTCCAGTAATTAAGGACGAATAAGAGTATAACGTTGTTGTTGTTAATACGCACAGTAATAAAAGAAGTAAATTTCTTCAAATTACTACTTTTTTCTATAGAAATAATAAATTTCGACTCATTTTGAAATCATCTTCAACTAATACAAATTTAATATTCCTCCTTTGTATATATTGTTCGAGTCATATCAAATTTACAGATTTAATGCTGTAATCTCTGTTAAATTTAAATTAATAATAATTGACTACATTTTTTTGTGGTCATTAAAGTATAAAGAATGACTTACAATAATATAAAGATGTCTTTAAAAATTGGATTAATTAATTTAATAAAAATAAAAAGTGATTTTTCGTAAACTACATAAATTTGGTCAACATTTTTGTTGTAATTACTTGGCGTGCTTATATACTTGAGCGTCTACTTTCTAACTGATAATTTAATAATACAATTGGTCGGTTAGCAATGTAAATAAAAAGAGTGAGTACATAAGTCATTAATAAAAATAATTGTAGGACAGAGAGAGTAGATTGTATGTTTCATTGAGAAACAAAATATACTTCAGATTATACAAAGAAAGGTTTTGTTATGTATTTGTGTTCCTCTTGAAACTTAAATCTTTTCAATTCTGTAAAATTACGAATTTCTTAGTCTTTGGAATTTATATAGAAATTTATGTAGCAACATTCTGTTAGAATCTATTGCCAAGTGTGCAGTGCTTAAAAATAGATATATTGCAATTTTATTGGGCGAGTGATGGACTCGCTACAGAGTTGAGCATATTTTGTTCATATTCATACAATATTATATAATTTTGTATAGATTAAATAATAAAGAAGATATTTGGAAATAAAAAAATTATGCATTCATATCCATATCCTATACCTCTAATATAAAAAATGTTTATACGCAATAAAAAAAATTGTCTATAATACTGTATCGATTGATAGGTGACAGAGAGTCATGTAATTTATAATATTTATACAACAATTGAAGCGTCAATATATTCATACGACACAGTCTCAAAATATTCTGTATTTAGGAAAGAATTTCTAGAACAGAGAGAGAGAGAGAGAGAGAAGAGAGAGAGGAAAACAATTAGTGTAATGTATAATAATTTATTTCTGCAAAAACTGTTTTAATATACCTCTATGATTTAATTCTGGAACCATGCGAGATCGATTACGATATGAGTCAAACAAAACATTTGAAAAATTTTTACAAAATATATTTGCTTTATTGCAATTAGTTTTATATTTAAACGTATGAGAATTGGCCTTTTTGATATAATTTGTCTTATATTTTGATATAAAAAGATTTTCGTGCATTTAAAAATATCAGTGGTACTCTACCGTAACGAAATCACATTGTGGCTACAGAATTTAATCTATATAATCTCCCTGAGACACGCAAATACACAAACGCGCACGTATATATATATTTATATAGTATCAAACAAAATAACACAGCTCACAGGTTAAGCTGGTTAGTAGAGATACAAACTGTACTTGATTATATTGTATACTAATGAACATTTTGCTTTCTCTTTGCTAGTGTCGTTGAACGAGTAGAGTAATTCACTTAGCCGATCAATCAGAGACAGAGGAGAGTAAATTTTTCTGCTACATTCGTTGAAAAGCCATTGACTATAAGTTTCTTGATTTGCAATGGACTACAGAGAAATTAAATTTACATATTTATTTTGTAAACCGAACAGTTTACATATTTATTTGTAAACCGAGCGCACAATTAATACTTTAGATTGTATTAAAATCTGTGCGAACATCATTCTATTATTCTTGATAAATGTAATTAATACGCTATTTCAAGATTTCTTTTCTTATTTCATTCTGCCAATTACAACATCTTTTTATTTACAAATTTAATTATTAAATTATAATAAATTAATTATGATGACATACAAAAATCACGCTTTTTGACTCGTTTTATATATTTATTTTGATAATTTTGCCCTAATTTTATTTGTCCAAATTCATTGATTATTTAATTTTACTATAACTTAATTATTTTCTATAATTTTAATATTAATTTAACAAAATATTTTGCATCAGCTGCCTATGAAATAATTAATTCGACGATAACGCATATCCTTCTTTCTTCTTTTTGGCGCAGCATCAGTTACACTTGATTAAAAAATGTTTACAACTATATGACTAACAAAATTAACAACGAGGTTTATACCTAATATTAATTACTCGTCTCGCTGTACACCTCTTTCGCTCACTAGATTTTTTTTACATATTCTAATAAAAATAATGCTCACTCATACTATAAATTTCGTCTCTCTTGCCTCCTTTTTCATTAAATTTTATAAATATAAAGTAACATATTTAAGAATATATCACAATAATTCCTCCCGCTTTCTTGTAGATGCTAAATATGCTAATAAATGATTTTTCGCGATAAATAACACAATAATATTTTTTAAAAATGGTGTAAAAACAGTTAAAACTACATTGTTATCTGAAAGTCTCTTCGTTTCTATTTTCGCAAGTTTCTATCTAATTTAGATAAATCACTGTATTGAAGAAAAATATATCATTTTTCAATTAACACGCGACAGTGTTGAACACTTTCACAAAATATACAAAAGAAAAACGAAAAAATTTAAAAATTATAACAGGAGACTGTTTTTTGGCCGGCGCAAGATTCGTTTACGTTGTGGTAAAAGGATAATTTGGGCAGAGTGGCAGGACCAGATCGTCCATATTTGGTAGAACGACTAGTTTCTCGAACTCCCTGAGCAACTTATTCTCGATCCAATTGCTCACGTATACAATGTTGACAGTCCTTTCGCCGAGAGTTGGTTGCACAGTGAGAGCGATCTTCGGCTTTGATTTGAAACCATACCAGAGCCGGTCAGAGGGCGGCGGAGGGATATTTAGTAAGAGACAGCCCTCGATGCCGGACACGTTAACCATAAAACGGATCTCCGTGTTAGAAACACCCTCCATCGCCCTCCGTATGTATGACAATTCTGTAGCCTGTGATAGAAAAAATGAATTCGTTTAATTATTAAGTGGCTATAACTTGTTTCCGCAATTATTAATAATAACAGATCAATAGACTATTTGAACATAATTAAGTGTTACTTACGTGTCGGAAATATTTATTGGCTGTAAGTTTGTCGACCATACTAAGAAACTTCTTACCAGAAGATTGTACTGGTCTATAATATGAGGAGATTTATGAATTTGTCTACAACCTTATTGTATATACTTTTATATTTTTTTAATTTATAAGATAAACAAATTTATATTTAAGAAAACACATATGTTGTGTCAATTGAATACAATTGTAATATAAAAAAAATTTAAATATCAATAGCATTTAAAAAGCAAGATCGATACGACAAATTGAAACCACGATTTAAATTAGAAAATTACTTACGTGGTTTCTTTAGATGCGACACTCGATGCGATGCTTCCTATATCTTCATCTTCGGTGGACGTCTCTGGACTATCTTCTACATCACTATCGAATATTGGTGATCTAGTAGGAACAGACTTCTCGTCAACAATATCACTGGGAACACTACTCGCACGTGTTAGCTTCATTAAATTCAACTTTGTCTCTACAGTCATCGTTATGCTGCCTTTATAAGTAATGTTCAAATCAAACCAGAGACCTCGCTCGTCAAGTGCGGGCTTAGAGACATTATGAATTATCGGAGCGTCTTGTCCGATTACTATTTCTGTTACATGGAGACTCTCCATGAAGTATGGAAGTTTTATGTTAGATAGTTTACGTTGTATTCTATCTTGAATAAGATTAATAGCTTCTGGACAACTATGCATATCGAACAATATCCGTCCCAAAAGACAATTTGCCCAAAGGACATCGCTCTCCCTTGGAGAACCCTCAGGATCCACCTGAAAGAGGTAATCGCTTGATTAGGATTATAAAGATTCTAAAATTAACTTGATCATCATATTACTTACGTTCAGGTACTTGTTCATATAGGTACTGTAAGTGACTTCGGGAGACGTCTCTAGTGACTTTGTTTCTGCCATATCCAATTGTGCAGAGATTGTATTTACGCTGGATACAGAATCATTTATGGAACAAATTGAATGTCGTTTTTTTGAAAAAGACGCCGCTGATACCAATCTACGAAACCTGAAAAATTCTTCACTGAGATCTTAATAATTAAAGCAAGCAAAGCTCTAAGTAATACTTTGATAATTAGAAAATTTAATTAGAATTTTTATTATATTTAAATTGATTTGAGAGGCATTTTAGAAGAAATGTTACCAGTCTTCCTTCTCTCGGTCGGCACGTGCAAACACATAAAGTTTACACTTGCTAGTCTCTTCGTTGTCACGGCAATCCTCGTAAATACTCCTAATGGACTTGGATTGTGAAAAATCATCGTCATCTTCATCATCATCAATCTTGAATTCATCCTCCTCATTATCTTTAAAATATTCCAATCTAGAGTCTTCATCCTCACTTTTGGTTTCTTCACCGAAAGTACTTTCATTGACTTCCTGACTGACTCCTTCTGCTTGGACAATTTTCTTTTCATCCTCGAGGGTTTCCTTTCCGAGATCTGTCCAGTCGTTCAGACTTGTGCTATTTACCAGTGCTCCTTGGTCCATCGTGATACAAATAGGATATTTCTTACTCCATCTCCTGTACGTAAAAAATATTTTTATTTTATTTGTGTATACTATAAAAATATGAAATAATTATGTATGGCATAATCATACCTCGTCCGAGTGAGTCCTTCTGGTAGCAACTCTATTTTTGCACCATTAAGATTGTACTCGCGTTTTCTAGTAAACTTATATTTTCGTTTTGGCTCATCCCAAACTGCTCTCTTTGGTACTTTCATTCTGGTCTCCGAAACGCGCAGCATTCCACCTTCTAGACTGAAGAAAACCGACTTTGTACGTGCTACATGATAATTGTGAGGATCGTACGTATATGGCAATTCGTTTAACCATCCTTCGTATCTTTCTTGGACTGCATGCTCCTCTGCTGCCGGTATTTCCAGTACTACATGTGCAGATTCTTTATTTAACGGCGTCTGTAAAATTTCTTTGATCCTCTGCACCAGCTTGTACATCACTATCGTGACGAAGACTCCCATAGAAAAACCAATCAAGTGGGCAGGCAATGGAATGAGATAGCAGAAAGCAAGCATAAGAACCAGCAGCGCAGCTAACTGTTTTGTCAATTGTTGAAAGACATAATCTTTTATATGGAAGAGAAACGTACTGAATTTTACTTCTTTTGTTTGTACGTATCCATCCGACTGATTAAAAAAATTGCATGTGATATCATTTTCCTTGTCCTCGACGTGAAAATCATCTTGTGATTCAAAAGGAAGTGGTTCAGGAACAAGATCTGAGAACTCAGCGGCTTCTACACCACTTTCCACACTGTCGTCTTGAGAGTTTCTCGTTTTCAGGCCAGTTCTTACCTGTGAGAAACCTACAAATCTCGAGGTATTACCCTTATTACGAGCAAGTTCCTTTTCTTGCTTGTCGTTAATGTTCTCATCAGTCGGAGTGATATCTCCCAGAGTCTCTTCTGAGTCGCTAACACTGGAATTATCCTTATTACGTTTTCTCTTCTTCCTGTCGCTCTTCATCTCAGAAATCTTCTCCTCAAAAGTTTTCGTGATCTTTCCCTTAATTTCGGACAGTACTTTCCATGGATCTGAAGATCGAGAGGTACCTTCCAACGCGTTATCCTCAATGGACCGTTTCTCTGCGTCATTTTCCAATCCTTGGCCATTCACGCTGCTCTTGGAGGGGCTCGACGGTATCTTCTTATCAAACTCAGGCGTAAGACGCTTTTCATCATCAGAGGAACTCGGATAGAGCTCTTCCAATTCGTCGTCATTGGCTCGGTAGTGGATTACTGGCACTGATGTGGTAATCGGTTTGCCTGAAAAAATATAAGAGTTAATTGAGCACACGAGGCAAAAGATATGGATTACTACACTGATTTTTTACACTTTTACTATATTTTATTTATATACTTCCATATTATCAAAAAATGTAAATATGAAGAATATATAAGCTTTTCCAACCTTTTCCTACCTTTTATCATTCCCAGGGTGATTTTTCCTGGACTGTATTTACTACCCATCGCTACTCGGCTCGAGCAACAGCAGCCGTCGTATCAAGAGCTTATTGATATTGACATTGATGCTCCGATCTGGAGAGATAACAGAATCTTGACCGTTTGTTCACAAAACGATCGTCTGAAGCCACGGTGTCATGCTAAGCGCTTAAGTTTGCGTCACGGTGCATCGGGTACTGTTGTTCTTGAAACGATTAATAATAATAACAATAATTAATGCTTCGACACTCGACACATCTGACATTTTCCAAGGACTCAACAACGCTCGTGCGCTTCGCGCTGCAGCTTCGAAACCAATGCGCAACGGCCAACTACAGTCTGTTCTATACAGTCTACACAAAAAGCTCATACATATAGGGCAGACCCAAGTTTCCCCAAGTGTTATCTTATCCTTGTTGTTCATTCAATGTTAAACGAAGATAAGACGATACACAGGGATACTAACTTGGGTGATATTTCCGAACGCAGCACAGTACTTAGGGCCACGTTATAGCGTGCGACAAACCAGCCAATTGGCGTGAGAGTTGAAACTCAGACAAGGACTCACTTTGATACTCTCTTTCTTAGGTCTTATCAAAAATATTTCATAACCTAACGCTGCAGAATTGGACCATCTCAAGAGGTTGTATCGGCACGATCCGAGTATACTACCGAAGTTTAGGTAGTCTTCAACTGTTTTCACTGTGATTCGTGACTATAGGTAAGTATTGCTGGAGCACAGTGAACTCCATGTCTGTAAATGCTAAATATAGTTAAATACGGAGTGCTCCTTGCACCCTTCACTGTTGTCTCTTACTCGTTGTTCTTGGTGTACGTTGCGTCCCAACGTGACAACAAATCTGATTCCTGTTAATTTCAGAATAGTGCTGACGGATTCATTCATGAATAGCATAGGAGAGGCATGCAACGATCTGAAGCGACAATACGACATCTGTTTTCACACATGGTTCTCTGAGAAATTCTTGAAAGGTGATACGAGTGACAGCACATGCTCGCACTTATTCAAAATGTATCAACAGTGTGTCAAGGTAATTAAAGCAGGATTCTATCTTTAGGAAATCTGCAAGCATATAACGCATGAAAGGAGGAGAGAGAGCGAGGGGGTAAAAAGAGCGAGGGTGCAACATGGAGGATTGCAGTGAGTTGAAACAGAAGTACGACGCCTGTTTCAACAGTTGGTTCTCTGAAAAGTTTTTAAAAGGGGATACCAATGATTCAATGTGCGCTTCTTTGCTTAAAGTCTATAAAGATTGTGTAGCGGTAAGTCTTAAGAAGCTCTCCCTTCTCATAGGTCAGATTATGATTATTTCAAAAAATATTTTCATATTCTCACAAAAAGCTAATAATGTTAATAACTCTACGCTCTCGTGTTTTAGAAAGCCATGAAGGAGCACCATATTGAATTAAAAGAGATGGAAACAAATTATTTGGAAACCGAGAAAGAGAAAAAGCCACATAGTTGACGAAAAAATATTCACACATTCATTTTTCAATCCTGCATAGTTTTTTTACAAGTCGGCGATGCAAACAGTGCAACTTTATCATTCCTATTTTTTATTGTGAAATAATATTATTAACAAAGATCAATTGAATATATGTATCTTAAACAGTTTAGTTTATGTTATTAACTAGTCACTGTGCTGCTGCCAAATATTCTACACACTTGTAACATTAACATCGAAATGTTGTATTCAGGGTACTTTTTCCTCAGTTGGCCCGAAATATACGTCATTTTTGTGAATTTTTTTTCGGGAAAACGAATGAATATGGAACATTAAAAGTTTTTGTACTTTATTTATCATACTTTGAAGTATATTGAAAAAAATTTTTCAGTTAATTTAATGCATATGCAGCGGCGGGATAAGGGGAAACGGCAACCTGTGCGAAAAAAAGTGTCTTCGTGGCGGAAGTCCTGCAGGTCGTAAAAATCATCTGAAAAACAAAAAAAAACATTTTTCAGTTCAGAACAAATGTCATTCTGGATTAGACTAGAATAAATTAAATCGAACAAAAATTCACAAAATGGCGGCTATTAAAAAAAAAAGTTCATTTTTTGTCAAAATTGTTGTAAATTAATATTTAACATTTTTATAATCGAGTTAAATATTTGTATTTATTCAAACCAAGAAACGTGAAACAGTCCAGGGCAGAACAGAATCAGAATGATGAAGAAAGAACAAAAGAACAGATAATAATTGAACATCAAAACTTCGTTAAGCGCTATTTATATTAAACGCATACTTCTTCCAGCGCTTACAATCACGACAACTCACTAGATTACTAATATTACCAACAAAAATTTTTGATACTTTTTTGTCTATAAAAAATTAAATATTGCATATATCAATACGATTCTAGTCTACTCCGTGCACAGACTTGTTTTGTATATGTAAAAAAAAAATAATGGAGGTGATTCGTTAAAAATTGCGTGAGTTAGAACTTCCGTCAGGTCGAAAAACGTGGTTTTCGGGAAAACGCGTTTAAAGTTTCAAGTATAATTTTCGTTGATATAAATGCTTAAATTTGAATACTTACAGCTAGTCAGCTATTCCAGGACCATACAGAATATCCTCCATTTCTTCAAAATTCTGCAATGTTTCTAAAGTTTCGTTGCAACGGACCATTTTTTTTCGGCGCCGGTCCGGACCCGACTTGCTTAGGAGCTCATAACTTTTTAACCATTAAGAATTTCACTTTGAAATTTTTACACGTTATTCTACACATGTAGAGCTATCGATTTATGCAATAAAAAAATCGATTTTTTTTTACCCAACTGAGGAAAAAGTACCCTTCAAAGAGAAACTATGTACATATAATGTATCTGTGCACTGTGTAAATGTATATATGTATATGTCATATTTAACAGCAAATTTAACTAGTGTAATTCTAGCAATTTATTACAATTTTGATTTTTTTTTCTTAAAGAATCACATTTTATAGAGACAAAACTAAACAGAAAAAAGAATAACATTAATTGTTGTAAATGTCACTGTGCAACATAGAAATAAATAATTTAGAAATGAAGCTAGTAAATAAAAAAATTTTCCTTTATATATTTTTTCAAAGAAAGAAAAAAAGTACATTTACGCAAAGAGAAAAGTAGAATAAATGTATTCAACCATGGCACTAAATTGTTATTTGTTTTCGTACCATTCAAATCTTAATATTATTAATACATTTGTTATATTTAAAGTTATACATTATTTTAAAATATAATTATACTAGAAACAGTTGTACAAATATTGATTAAATGCTCATCCCCTTGTGATTGTGAATATAAATATTTTAATAAGGGAATGTACACATTTATTTCGATAAGTGGTACGTGTAAACTAATTATAAAAATACCCATTTGAATTCTGTAACATTTATTAATCACTTTTAGATTCTGAATCAGACGAAGATGGAGTACTCTCTATAGGTTCCTCTGCATCGCTTTCATCCGACTGATCTCGTTTCGCCTTTTTCATTGTTTTCTTTCCAGTATCTTCTATTGGCCTCTTCTCAATCTTTTTCTTTTTACCCTTCTCTTCCTCGCTTTCATCGTCGTCGGATTCTGCCTTCTTTTCAGATCTCTTACTTTCATTGCTGCTACTATCGTCATCACTAATGTACTCTTTGCTCTTGAAACCGGAACCAGACATTTGTTTGCTAGGCGAATCCTTTTTCGTTTCCTTCTTTTTCTCTGGCTTCTTTTCTTTAGTTTTTTCTTTACCGCCCCCGCTCGCTTGATATTCTTTCATCGACGCCGTATAATCTTTTTTAGCTTTGGCTGCCTTTGCTTCCCATTCAGACTTGTCTTTGAGCTCTCGCCACAACTCACCTCCCTTTTTCGCGATTTCTGTTATAGACATTCCTGGATTGTCCGCCTTAATACTGTCGCGCGTGCTATTTAACCACAACATGAATGCCGTTGGAGGTCTCTTTGGCTTGTTTGCATCTTTCTCCTTCTTCGGTTTCCTCTGCTTTCGCGGCTTCTCCGATACGGTTTTTGCTGACTTCGACTTCTTTTCTTTTTTTTCTTTCTTCTCTTTCTTGTCTTTCTTGTCCTTTTTGTGACTAGCCCCAGAGGCATCTGAATCTTCGCTATCAGAGCTATTGGGATTGCTGTCGTATTCCTCGGCAACATCGCTTTCATCTTGATTCGGATTGAAGTCCTCATCGGTCGAGCCTTCCTCAGAGTCTTGATTTTCCTCACCATCGCGTTCCTGTGCTTCTGCCTTGACTCGTGCCAAATAGGCGTCCGGTTCGTCCTCTTGATCGCTATCACCAAAGTCTTCGTCGTATTTGGGCTTGTCACTCTTACCACGGTTCTTGACACGCAATTTCTTCAACGTGATGAAGTCAAATAATTTACCATATTCCTCTTTTTCAATGCTGCTAAACGTGTGTACCACACCGCTCGTAAGTTCGATCTCGAAGTCAAAAGACCTAGTTGATCCGCCACCGCGCGCGAAGTTCAATGAAGCTATCTCTTCGAAACGGATATGTATTGGAGGTTTGTGTACATAAATAAAACCTCGCTCGAGAGGATATAGATATCCTGCTGCAGCTTTGAAAGAACAGCTAATAGCAGGTGTCCCGGTATGACCAGTGAAATGTCCAGGGCCAGTTAATTTTCGATTGATAATTACCTTCATTACCTATAAACATATAATTTCACATTAAAATAAAAATACAGAAACTGGAAAGCTTTTTTTTACTTACCTTGCCCAGCACTTCATATGTTGGTCCCGATAATTCTTTAGTCAGTTTATCTTCATACTTTTCCTTTAATTCCTTTTCGGTAAATGGCAACTCGATGGAAGTCTCTTCTTCTTGATTGAATAAGAGTACTAGATAATGATATCGCGTTTGACCTTGCTTTATGGGAGGATCCAAGCTCACAACAAAGAACATTTGACGATTATCCTTGTGTGGAAGTAAGAAGAGTCTCAATACAGTGGACATAGGTATTTTATAATCAAAGGTTTTGCCGTGCAGTTGAAAGAAGGTCTGGAAGATCTTAATGTCATAACGACCACGTGGCGTTAAACAGTGAATTTCCCTGAATATGGCAATCGCATCGCCACTTACACTGATTACAGATGCCTTATCCATCACCTGTTGTAATCAAGACATAAATTATTCTTCTGTTATTAAGTCTGTAAATATATTCATAAGTGCATCTAAAAAGTTGTCTAAATCTTTTTTCACCTGCTGATGGAATGCCTCGACAGGATCTTGATCAGCACTATCACTAACAGGAATGTGAAATCTCATCTCCATCAAGCTGACCGGAGCGTCATCGTTTTGATGAAGTTCCAATGTTACCTCATTCTTTCCTGTATTACACTGTGATACATCATGCAAAGGTATCTCGAAAGCAGTATGATGACCAACATCAAAACTCAAGACTGATCCGCGAAACTTTGCAGTACCCCAGTTCCAACCTTTTAAACTCAGCTCCTTTTCCAACATATCTTTCTTGTAATTGGTACCAAAGAACTTTGCAATCTTTTCTTGTTCAGATTCTTTAAAGCCTTTGAAGCGATGCAAAGCACCATTTTTTAAAAAGAGCCGAAGACCCCAGGTTCCAATAAATTTTTGGTAGTTTGCCATCTCTATATCAGAAGCTGAAATCTGTTCGACTTTCCCAGTCTTTTGATTCTTAAAGATTATGTGCTGATCAGTCAACTTCAACCTGCCTGGTGTCTGTAAAACAATTATTATTAATAAGATAATAATAAATATAAGATTTGATATAATAAATATATATTATATAAATCAATTAAGAAAAATAATCTTATTTTCAGTTAAAGCAGATCTTGGTGCTTAACATTCATATGTAAATTTTTGCAAATATATTTTAACTGAAATATTAAGAACTCAAATTAGATTAATCATTAATTTAATAATAATGATAAAAAATAAGCATCTTAAAAAAAACCTACAAAAAAGATGATTAATATTTCAGCTTCAGTTTGTGTTTCAAGTCTTGATAAACTAAATTGATGCACAATTTATGAAATTGGAAAATATGTTTGCATATATATATATATATTTGTGTGTATGTGCGAGTGTCTCGTCATATAAATATTATCAAGATTTGCTTTGACTAACAATAGCAGATTGTTTCTTTTAGTTAATTTACTTTTATTGGTGTAATTTATATTTATAATTGTATATATTGTTCATTTTCTTCTTAATTAGCTTTCATTATTGATTACATTTTTTCTTATTATAAAAATGTAAAATGAGCACAAGCATAGCATGGCAGATGTGCACAATGATCTGCCATGCCACAGGTCCTGGGTTCGATTTCTAGTAAAAATCAAAATATTCATGCTTGTGTCTCCTCTCGGAAAAGGCTGACAATCTTCCGAGAGTATTCTTGCCCATAGAAACACCTCTCGAAAAAATTCGCTATTTGGAACCGGCATTAAAAACTGTAGGTCCCCCATGGCTTGTAGCAACTGAATAACCAACGTGCGCACCACAAGCACATGAGAGAGGTGTAACACAGGCCAGAGCCTTAACGTACGAAAAAGAAAATGTAAAATCAATCATTCGTATTATTTTTAATAAAGCTACAATCGAAACTGATTAAATACTGACGAATTTCATGTAACTCGAAAACAATTTGCCTTTACGTGGCAACTCAGAACGGATAAAAAAGGTGTTTAGCTCATCAGATCAAGAATCAATTACGCGATATTGTTTAATTGCTTTAAAAGCGGTTAAGAATTCTTACCATTGTGCCCTTAACCTCAGCGAAAATGTCTGGATACTCGAGGAAATCCATCTTGAATAATCAGCTAAGACCGCCAAGACTGTCTTTGGTCGACTATTCCAACAAAAATGTTAGGTTAAGCCTTAAACACAAAATGTTGTGATATGTTGGTTCAGAACATAGAATAAATAGGACATGTGCTGCCACCACCAAATTACGAACTGTGAAGCTATATCCACACAACTTGCATAACTGCGTACATAAAGAAAATTATCCAATCGCATTTCCCTTATAGAGATGCACGTAAAATGTGATTAGATAATTTTCATTATGCATTC